TTTGAAGTTCAGGGTGATGAGGACATCCCGTACGATACGGAAAGATATGTGGTGCTTGCGCTGTTGCGTCTTTGCGAGGGTCGGTCGATCAGTCTCCCAAAGTTGGAGCCGAAGAGTTTGGGGAACTATATTCGAGGACGTTTCCGGATGTAGAAGAGGCGCAGCGTCCGGCTGTGAGCAACATGTACCCTGTGGTCTCTCTTGAGAGTGGTAAAGTATCGTATGGTCGGTCGTAGCGGTGATGAATATCGATATATAATAGATCTACATGGTCTTGTCACTCATGCTAGAGACCAGAATGGTTATATTATTATTTATTCTCTGGATGATCAGTGGGTTGAAATCACGTTAGGCATACTCACTCAATCAAGCATTTCTCAAAACACGTGCACGTGCACCAACTATATCACCGCGACCGTGCTATGCCCAAGACCATACCATTTCCATGGCCCGAACCGCATTTCTGTCACATCATGGAGAGGAAAGAAAGGTGCACCAACCTGCGACACTCTAGTCCCCTTCTCGGAGTATACTTAGGGTACTGGTGTTGGTGTTCAAGTCACGAGTAGAGTCATTCTATTCGATGTCGATTGGAATTCATTCATCCATGACCTCGACAACATCTCGTGTACAACGAACAGGGCCAGATGAGCAGCAACCCACAGCCAGCTACTGTTACCGTCGCAACAACACAGCCAACATTGGTTGTTCAATCGGAATCGGAAACTCAAACACAACCTCAGCAACGTACCCACTCTGCGTGCACCTTTTCAACGCGTGAGCTATTAGGAACCGCGTCGACGGTCATTGTCTCCTAGAGTCTACGAGGAGCAAACCTCGCTTGCGCTTTCCGGCGCTGAATATCTCGGTCGTATCTCTGACAGCGTTCATTCCCTGCCACCAGCACCGCCCCCACACTCGCGTTCGCGTTCGCATGCTCAATGCCTACGATCGTTAGGTGATAATTCGTATTTGGTACCTGACACGAGTTGGATCGTTCCAGAGGAAAAGGAAACCCGTCAGGTGAGAACAGCGCCGTTTCTCTTTCTCACTCACTCAGATGAGAGGGACAAGGCTGCAAAGCGAGGTACGTATAATTACCTATCCTCCGCCGTACAGTTGATCATATATCATGTCGTCATCCATCATGCATGCAGCCAAGATGACAGGCTACTCTATCAATGTCGCGATCGGGATCCAAGTCGTGCTCGGCGCGCTTACCACCGGTCTTGGTGCAGCCCTCTCTGGCAAGTCAGTACGTGAATACATGATTTGCTCGTGCCAGGAGTGGGAATTCCTACCTGATGGCTACAGTCATCCGTGGCGATAGGGGACGAGATGGGATCCGGTCCTGTAGGTGTCGGTGCTCGTGGTGGAGCGGGTATGTGCAAGAATGGTGTAATGAGTGTGGACCTGGGAGCAGGTGGAAACGCAGCAGCTCCTGGAAAAGGACCCGACCGCGGCATTGATATGGTCCCCCAGAAGCAGCAGCAGCAGCAGAACCAACAACAACAGTATCCAGGCATCGATATTTCTCATGGCCTTATGGAGTCTACATTCGATCGAGGCGCTCTGCCGCGAAATGCAAGCACAAGGGCAAACACTCCTTTGGGTCACTCGATCGTCTAATTCTTGTTGTTGTCCTCGTCATCTCATAAGTCTGCATGCACTGAACACACCTTTCCTTCTCTCTGGGAGGAAGGGATAGACAAGTCGGATCAAGATAAATGTTTTGCGTTATCGTTAAAGGTTCTGGCTGACCCTGTCGTAATAATAATAATATCTTTTCCTCGCATCTCTTCCCTCGGGTCGGGTTGGGTTACATTTATTTCTGTGGGTAGTTAGTACGCAGCTGCGATCAAGGTGCTTGTCCCACGAGCGCGTTCTGGGATGAGTTGTGAACTGATCAGGTCTGTCGGGCAGGGGTTATGCGCGGGCATAGATGAGCACAAGGTCGAGGTCGAGGATAGGGAATGAGAGACGATAAGAGTCGCAGCGCTAGATGGGGTTCATCACATCCATTCGCACTGCGATGGGTGCGAAGGTCAGACGCGTGCAAGATGGACCCACGACGACGATCGCAGCATCATATTCATAATAAACTTCGCTCTTCGACCGTATACCTCACACTTTCTCGCATGGCAAGGAGATTAGAGTCGCCTCAGTCAAACACTGACTATTGACTATTGACTATACACATTCGTTCCTTTCACATAACGTGTATCATACAACCCTGTCTTTCATGCCACCGGTATATTCTCAAGTAGAGAGGAAGGATTCCAGTCAGGATACAAATAGTTGTCGTTCTCTTTCGTAGGGTCTGGTCCAGTCGACCACGCCTTGTGCAAGATTGCGAAAATGTCTCTGGGGTTGGCCGCCAATCGCGTATCAAGCTCCGAAACGGGTACATTAGTCACCTCCAGCTTCTTGCCAGTCTTTGCTTCGTATTCTTTGAATACCTCATTGAAAGACTATTTCCAGACTCCGTTAATAGCCATCCATGCGATCTTTCGTCCTTCACAAACCTTTGTGTCCCCGACCATCGTAAAGGAACGATTGTTCAGCTGTTCAGCTGGCAGATGGGTCAGGATATAAGAAACATATCGTGCAATGTCGACTCGGGAGGTGAACGGATTCTGCTTCTTGCCTTCGCCACCGATGGTCGCTTTCCCGCTCTTGATATCGAGTCCAAAGTAACTGTCCCGGTCCACTTTCAAACCAACGATTAAATGGGGGGAGGATAAAATGATGCGTACGATGTCCAAACGAAATCTGCAAATGCTCCAGTGTAAAAGAGAGTATACGGGAGGCCCACAGCCTTCAGTTGGGTTTGAATGCTAGCCTTAAAGCCCAAGAAACCTTCGGTTTCCCCTTCTGTTTTTGCTCCGAATTCAGATGGGACAAAAAGCTTGGCACCCGCCTCCTTCGCCGCTTCTGCGAGTCCCACTTGTAGTTGAAGAACGGTCGAGGCGAGAGTTGAGATGACAACGTCCACGCCGATCAGTGCATTCTTGACGGATACCTTGTTTGAGTAGTCAACCGGGATCAATTTAGCGTCTCCGTCAACAGTGGTTTTGGATCCCTGACGATGAAGGATGAGTGAGTGAGCCATATAGATTAACTAAATCAGCGAGTTAATCGACCGAACCTCGCGAGTGAGCACGACCACATTGTCAACAATGCCTGCGGACTTGTCCTTTAGGAGCTGGCGGATAATGAAGCTACCGGTGCTGCCGGCGCCTACAACAGCGAAGTTCTTGTACCCGGACATGTGTTGCTAGTATGCGGTATGTGGTTTGGGTTGTGAGATGGTTGAGGTGGAACGTCCCGCACCCGATTCTATTTATCCTCCTAGACATAGGGTTTTTTTTGCTTGAACTAAGCTGCCTCCGCAGTTGGATTGAATTGAGACGGGAACGGATCAAGGTGACTGGAACATTACAATCCTTCATAGGACACTTTTCCTGTAGCTTGAACTTCTTTAGCGCGCAACCTCAGCTGCGTTCACCAAGCATCAGCATTGTCATATCGTGAGCCTGCCATCACGTACGTATTTCGAAGCACGAGCTGAGTAAGTGCGTACAAGTGCAGCGTCCTGTCCCGCACATCTACCGTCGCGCCTAATAATAGTACAAGCTTGACGCAATCGTGTTTTCAGCAACTGAAATTGTGACGCAAGCCAGCATTGTGCTCAACTAGTCTAGAAACCTCGAGATGTCCATGGGGAATTGCTAGATGGCCATCAGGAAGATTACAAATCTGGGATGCTTAGGATGACTCGCGCTAGAGTGCCTGCAAGTCATCCTAGGCACTCTGGACATCCTCCTGACGGCACCGGAGGGCTGGGTCTGTGCTGGGAATTTACGAGTAGCCACTGATCAACAGGGCCGCCTTGATGTGGTTCCTCCAGGCTGCTCTGCATCAAAATGCACTCCCATGTATAGCGGAGCTGCTTCGGGTTGCACCAGGGGGTAGTTCTACCTTGGGTTGCAAACAGGCCTACCCAGGCAGGGTTGTGCAAGGATGGTGAGTGATAACGGGATATATCTCCATTTGCAGTGATGGGATGGCTTTAGCTAACCGAGAAGTGAGCTTACAGAGCGCAATGACTAGGTTCAAACCGGGGATCCTATACTGGATCCCGGCCAGGTGAACTCTTACTCAATCCCTCGGGCTTGATCACCGAGAGATTAATCCCTGCTCCCTGCTGATCGATGTACTGACAAATGATGAAGTCCTCGACCTTCGCTCGTCACTCCGCTTGGCCACGAGTGGAACCGAAGCTATTATGTCCACAGGACCATGTTTTTTTTTTTAACGAAAACATGTGCATGTTCTCGATTTACCTTATTGATGTCCCTTAACACGCGATCATATGTTTCATCAAAGGATTTCGGCAGCTCTTCGAGGAGGCGCAGAGTTTCCAGCTCGCTAAAGACCCACCGAAACCTGTTGGAGACTATGAGTGACTATAACCACTCGTTCTTTCAGAAAGCGTCTCGATAACAAGATTATTGTCCTCCTTTCTGTCAGAGTGAGCGACAGACTCACATGATCAATGATATCTTTCTTTTGTCCCACTTTGGCCGTCAAGAGACACGCGGAAAGGTGTTAAAGCCTCAAGCCTCAAGGACCGAAGACGGTCCAAAGTCAATCTCCAGGCGAGTGGTCACATATACACGAAGATTTGACAGGGAAAGTTCAACAAGTTCCTTCACAAAGACTTTGCCAGGAACAAAAGGATCTGTTTCAGACATTGTGTCGTGGTTCCAGTACTAGTCTTTTATGCACTGTCATCGTGTGCCTAGAACATGCCAAAGCAAAGGCTAGATGGATTTGGATGAGAAGAGAAGAAGGGAGTAAGTTGTGATTGTTCTGTTTATTGGCATCCCTGGGTCAATATAAAAGAGAAGTGCTGAACCCTAGTCATGGCACATTTATACATGGGTGGACTGGCTATGCCCAGGATACAGCACACAGAAACCACCTTGGATAACCAAAGCTGTGTAGCTCAGTGATTAGGGCACCAGTCGTAGAATGTCTGGGGTCTTGGGTTCAGTCCCCAACATGGCCATGCTTTTCTTGTGACTGAATTCCCTTGATTGCAACACCAGGGATCATGCCAAGCCAGCTTTGTGCACACAAGATGATGTCTGAAGTTTCAGAGTTGTGTCTAGGGCTGCGCACCGTACCCGTGCCGTACCAGCTCAAGTACGGGTACGGAAAACGCCGTCCAAACCAGTCAAAAAAACGGCCGTCGACGGCATGACAGTATTGGACGGCATTGACTGAATGAAATTTAATCTCGTTATTAAGCCACCAAAGCTCCTGCTACTCCCAGGGCCCCCCACTATAAGCTATTACTAAGTGTTAGCTAGATATAGTAAAGATAAGTGATAAGATAAACTATTTAATACTCACTTCAGTCAAAACTGAAGTGAATGTGTACAGAGTAGCAGCCTTTTATACTGCGCAGAGGGGCATGACAATAAGTAGAATAAATATAGTTATTTAAATGTGACAAGACAGAAGGAATGTGTTGTGCGTGCAAAGTCTCTGAATCAATTATCTTAGATTATTTATCATAATCATAAGATCGAGTCCAACCAGCCTGTCTCAACAGTAGATTAGATTAGTGGATGGGGCACAATCTCCCTCCGTATTCTGACAAGAAGCGGTTGCATCTTGCACGCACGCAAGCTGATAGTGCACTGGGCCGTTGAGCTGTCAATTAGTCTAGATGTTTGATTTATGCCTTAATGTAATCAGTGAATTTTGGTCTGCCAGAGTCCAGTTGGAGGTATGCTCACATGTACCACACTTGGCTTCAGGAGTTGCCTTGTGCAAGCCCAAATATAGTTTTTGGATGCCCCAAAATGGGGCATGTTTTGGCATTGTTTCTCTGATGTCTCTTTTGTGATAATGTACCTACAATTCATTTATTGAGGGAGTTCATGTTTCAGTATGCCCTGTTTACACTACTCGCGCTTGCGGAAGCAAACGCAATGCTTGAAGTCCCTCTATGAGTTTCAGATTATGGCTGGTAAAGTAGGTTGTTGGGTATTGTATTCACAAAATACATAAAAAGGTGTAGAATAGCCCCAAGAATACACCTATTCATTGCTTTATCGCTCCAAGCTTCTTGCTCATGCTACCCTGCTCAACTTTATTTTCTCTAGTAATACCATCTACTACCGTATACCGTAAAACGGCCGTACCGTACCCGTACCATACTGTAAGGATGGCTCGGGCGTTGAGCATGAAACAGCCAGCTATTGTCTCTCCTGAATTTAGAGCATTTAGAATCTAGCTTCGTATATCTTATCATTTACATTCCGGGCCGCATGCCCGTCCATTCCTTAAACCGTTTCACTACCTCCCCGTCTTAATTGCCAGGTTTCTACTTCCCCGTCTACATCATCCCCGCCTTTATTGCCTGGAATCATCTCACTTGTCTCCTTTTAATCCTAATTCACCCTCTTTCTGCTTCATAACTAGGTCTCTCTGCAAGTATTTAAAGGTACATACAATGCTTGTAGTAGACCAGCCAGTGAGCCAACAGAAGCAGAAATCAATCGGCATTTCTCTCCCTTTCTCTATCTTCTTAGTGTGCTAAGGAACTTCTTGACGACATCGAGCGCAAAGGTCAAATGGAACCAACAAGCAGCGTTTCCTCGAGTTCAAGCACGATACGCTTACATTCGATCTAGTTATATCAAAAGGGCGTGCTCTCTTCCTCTCTTCTCTATCACTCTCACCATCCAGGGAATACTTTGCCGCGCACTCACTGCGGATCGGATCCGTACAATACCATCAGCGATCCAGTGAGTACAAAAAACGGAAGCTGTACGGGTCAGCCGTACTCGTCCTTCACTGTCAAATAGACGGCCGTCACCGTCAAACGGACGGCGCGCAGCCCTAATCGGTATCGCTGTGCCAGGCCTAAACCTTAAGGTGTCGCAACCTAGCGAAGTGAGATGGATGGACGCCGGCAAGACGCCATGCGTCCCAGTCAAACACTGACTATCGACTATTGACTATACAAATTCATTCGAAAGCCTAGTTTCACATAACGTGTATCATACAACCATGTCTTTCATACGACTGGCAAATTGTCAATTAGAGGGGACGGATTCCAATAAGGATACAGGTAGTTGTCGTTCTCTTTCTTGGGGTCTGGTCCTATCGTAAAGACCTTGCGCAAGAAAGTGTAAATGTCTTCGGGATTGGTCGCCAATCGCGCATCAAGCTCCGAAACTGGTATATAAGTCACCTCCAGCTTCTTGCCCGTCTTTGCTTCATATTCTTTGAATATCTCGTTGAACGACTATTTCCAGACTCCGTTATTAAACATCCTTGCGACGGTTCTTGTTCACATACCTTTGTGTCCCCGGCCATCGTAAAGGAACGATTGTTCAGCTGCTCAGCTGGCAGTCGGGTCAGGATATAAGAAACGTATCGTGCAATGTCGACTCGAGAGGTGAACGGATTCTTTGTGTTGCCATCACCGCCGACAGTCACTTTCCCGCTCGTGACATCGAGTCCGAGGGCCCTGTCCCGGTCCACTTTCAAACCAACGATTGAATGGGGGACAAAATGATGCGTACGGTGTCCAAAGGAGATCTGCGAATCCTCCAGTGTAAAACAGAGTATACGGGAGGCTCAGACCCTTTAAATGGGTTTGAATGTTAGCCTTTGCGCTGTAGAATCCTTCCGTTGCCCCTTCTGTTTTTCCTCCGAATTCTGATGGGACAAAAAGCTTGACACCCGCCTCCTTCGCCGCTTCTGCGAGTCCCACTTGTAGGTGAAGAACACCCGTGGCGATCGTTGAGATGACAACGTCCACGCCGATCAGTGCATTCTTGATTGATTCCTTATTTGAGTAGTCAACCGGGATCAATTTGACGTCTCCGTCAACAGTGGTTTTGGATCCCTGACGATGAAGGATGAGTGAGTGAGCCATATAGATTAACTAAATGAGCCAGGTAATCGATCGAACCTCGCGAGTGAGCACGACTACATTGTTAACAATGCCTGTGGCCTTTTCCTTTAAGAGCTGGCGGATAATGAAGCTGCCGGTGCTGCCGGCGCCTACAACAGCGAAGTTCTTGTACCCGGACATGTGTTACTAGTATGCGGTATGCGGTTTGGGTTGTGAGATGTTGAATTCGACGTCCAACACACCCATTCTATTTATCCTCCTAGTTGTAGGGGCCTTTTGCGCCTTTGTCACGTCATGTTAAGTCGGAACTAAGCTGCCTCCGCAGTTGGAAGTTAGCATCAATCAGATGTCGCCGCCAGTCAGTCATATGAGCGAAAGACAATCGCGAGCCTGCCATGACTAGTAATGCAGTCATGTTTTCAGTTCATTTGTAACTTCTGACGCAAGGTGCAAGGAGTCCTACCCTTTGTATCCTGCACATTGATGCCAGCATTGTGCTCGACTAGTAGTCTAGAAACCTCGAGATGTCCATGGGCCATTGCTGGATGGCCATCAGGAAAATTACAAATCTAGGATGCTTGGGATGACTAGCGCTAGAGTGCCTGCAAGTCATCCTAGGCACTATAGGCATCCTCCTGATGGCAACTGGAGGACTATGTCTATGCTGGGAATTGAATTTACGCTCAACATGTGACCAAGTGATAACCGGGCCACCCTGATGTCGTTCCTCCAGGCTGCTCTCCATCAAATGCAGTCTCATTGGTCCCACGTCTACGAAACCCGCAGAAGGCAGCATGGTAGTTCTACCTTGGACTTCAAACAGGCCTCTTCATCTGTCAACGGATTCGTCTGAGCGGAGCAAGAGACCCAGGCAGGGTTGTGCAAGGATAGTATGGGCAGACTCGAGATTGAATGATAACGGTAGATATCTCCATTTGCATTGATGGTTTTAACTAACCAAGAAGCGAGCTTACAGAGAACAATGGCTACGTTCAAACCGGGGATCCTATACTGGAAACGCAGCCTGAGATAGAAAGAACTATTTTGTAAGATACAGAAATACTGTCTCTAAATACTGTAAGGACTGTGCTGTGCTGTGATCATAAGGAATGTACTTAATCCTAACTAATCATAATAAACGAGCGTAAGTATCATCCTGCACTGCCAACACCGGTCACCTCTGATCCGGTCCGGCCTACTCTGATCAACAGATCTCGGCCGGTGAATAACTCCCACATCGGTCCACCAACGGAAGGGCCTCGCTCTCAAGGCCAACTTCTCTTTTACTCTCTTACTCAATCCCTCGGGCTTTATTACCGAGAGTCTAATCCCCTGTGTCGTCAAGCTAATCGATGAACTGACAAACACTCAATTGGGAGACCGATCTGGAGCGCAGCTCTGACAACTAGAATACAAATAATTAAATCCTCGACCTTCGCTCGTCACACCGCTTGGTCATGAGTGGAACCGAAGCTGTTATGTCCATAGGATCAAGTTTTTTTTTTTTTAACAAAAACATGTGCATGTTCTCGATTTGCATTATTGATGTCCCTTAGCACGCGTTCATATATCTCATCAAAGGATTTCGGCAGCTCTTCGAGGAGGCGCAGAGTTTCCAGCTCGCTAAAGACCCACCGAAACCTGTTGGAGACTATGAGCGACTATAACCATTCGTTCTTTCAGAAAGCGTCTCTATAACAAGACTATTGTCCTCCTTTCGGTCAGAGTGAGCGACAGAGCTCTCGTGATCAACGATTTCTTTCTTTCGTCCCACTTTGGCCATGAAGTGACACGCGGAAAGGGGTGTTAAAGCCTCAAGCCTCAAGGACCGAAGACGGTCCAAATGTCAATCTCCAGGCGAGTGGTCACACATACACGAAGACTTGGCAGGGAAAGTTCAACAAGCTTCTTCATGAGGTCAAGAACGTGCTGTTCCTGTGGATGGCATGCCAGAGGTGTTGAGACATTCGTCGAGTGCATCAATGATATGTAAATTTGGACTTTGCCAGAGAACAAAAGGATCTCTTTCAGACATTGTGTCATGGTTCCAGTACTAGTCTTTTGTGCACTGTCATTGTGTGCCAAGAACATGCCAAAGCAAAGGCTAGATAGAGAAGAAAGTTGGATAAGAA